GGAGGATGGAGCAAGCTTGTTTTCTCTTGCCCTGGAGGGTAGGGCCCAAACTAATGCTTTCAAGTTACAAGAAAGAAGATTCCAACTAAACAACAGGAAGAACTCTCTGGCAGAGATCTGTGACAGTGGAACAGCCTCCTGCAAGAGGCTACTTCATTAGAGGTTTAAAAGCAGAGGTTGGATGGCCATCTCTCATGTATGATCTAGTTGAGATTGCAGGGGTTTGGACTAGACAACCCTTAGGGGCCCCTTCCAACCCTACATGATTCTATGATTCCAAACATGGAGACCAAGCTTTTTTGCAGCTACTTTGAGAAAAGGACATAGCTCAGTGGAACGGCATCTGTTTTGCATACAGAAGGCACTAAGTCTGACCACCTGTACCACCTGGTAGGACTAGGAGAGACTCTGGCTGAAACCCCAGAGAGCTCCTGCCAGTCCCAGTAGACTATCCTAAGCTACATGGACCCATGGTGTGATTCAGTATAAGGCAGCTTCCTATGTTCCTTGCTATATCAATAACAGGTCTAAGAATATTACATCTTATATTTTTAAATTAGACTGCACTGTGACCAACTCATTTGAGCAACAACATACATGCAAGACCATAGGAGTGCATAGGGGGTGTTTGTTTTATTTAAAGAAAACTGGTATCATGGGGCAGAGAGACACAGTCCGAAGAAAAAGGCTGGAGTGGAGCTGAAATGGATCTGCAGCTTTTGCCTGTGTCTGTCTCTGGAAGTGGCAGTGGGGTGATTGGCTCCAGCAGTGGCGGTAAGTGGGGAGGAGGGACTCTTTCTTCTGCAGGCAGAAGCTGCAGTTCCATTCCAGCCTTTCATTTCTGCCTTCATCTGTCTCATGTCTATGTCTCCATATGCTTGCCACTTTTCATCTGCAGGGGTGAGGTGCTGTTTTTGTGGTGCACAAGCAGTAGGAGGAGAAGCCATTCCAGCCTCAACCCTCCAGATCTGTCCTGCCTCTTGTTAGTTTGGTGTAGGTCTTTTTCCCTTGCAGGAAAAATATCTTGTTTTGGCTTCTTGACCGCTCTTGTTGTTTCATTAGCTTTTTGTCTCTTTACCTCTTCTTTGTCCTTATTTCTTTGTCTTGTCATTCCCCCTTCCCTTCTTTCTTTATTGAAATAAATAAAAAAAATCCCTGAATGTTTATTCAACCTAATGAAATGTGCTATGCACATCTGTGTGAAAGATCATTGTTTACCATGTTTGTAGTTGTTTGATCTTTTTTTCCAGTCACAGTGTAGTGACAGGAATGTAACCTACAAAACAAATCAAGCCTGTCTATACTCTATAGACTATAGTTACCAGATCAACACAGCTTCATCTTAGCTTTCAAACTGCAAAATCAGCATTAAGATAAGCTAATTGGAACCCCAATTGGAAACACCACTTTTCTTCAGAAAATGTTTATACAGTGGTACCTCGGGTTAAGTACTTAATTTGTTCCAGAGGTCCGTTCTTAACCTGAAACTGTTCTTAACCTGAAGCACCACTTTAGCTAATGGGGCCTCCTGCTGCCGCTGCACCTCCGGGGCACAATTTCTGTTCTCATCCTGAAGCAAAGTTCTTAACCTGAACCACTATTTCTGGGTTAGCAGAGTCTGTAACCTGAAGCGTATGTAATCTGAAGCGTATGTAACCCGAGGTACCACTGTATGCTGAAATATATCAGGACAAGTCACAGCTGAAGCAGTGCCCAATTCCTAAGAAGCAAGAATTTACTTCCAAGAGGCAGGGCAATTTGAAGGGAAAGGAAGAATCACAGGCTGAGAAACTGCCAATTTTAAGAGCCTGTAAACTCAAAAAGTGGAAAAAAACTCTTCCACTTTCTATCCTTTTTTTCAGGGTGGGGATTATCTCTCAGATTTTCTCTCCAATGGGAAGGAAAATCCATACATCAGCTCCAGGGCCTGGATACTTCCCGCTCATATTCCTGGCGTGTGTTGGAAGATCAGGAGATCTTTACAAATCTCCTGCAATTCATTTCATTCCCAACACAAACCTTTTCTTCTGTCACTGTTGGAACACTGATGGTGGATGAAAGATATCCATGGTGATTTCCACAGCTGCAACAAGGAAGCATCTGCAGACAGATCTCCATCTCTTCCACTGGTCTCCATCTCCACCCACAAGGAGTGAGATCTGCAAAACCTTTGACCCTTTGGGTGTCCTTCTAAGGACCATAGGGCACAATTCAAAGTGTGTTTGGGATTACAGCCTCAGAAGGATTTCTTGCGGGCTGTAGATGACAGTTTAATTTCATCACAACCCTAAATACTGAATGAGAGACATATCTTTATACTTCAGTTTCTGAAGAATTTGGATCTGGAAATATGTGGCAAATCACTACAGAACCTTGAGTATTCTGTTTGCACGAATCTGCAAGTCTCCAAGTAATACACTATCTATTAGGCCATGAAGCTTGCTGGCATAATTTATCTCATTGGGTTATTATGCTTATGGCAGTAAAAGTGCAATCCTATGCATGTCTACTCAAAACAGCCCCATTGTATATTGTGTAAGTATGTATTGGATTGCAACCAAGATGTGTAGATATATTATATTTCCTTGGGACCCTTGAGATATGACAATCAAGCAATAATCCCAAATAATTTTGGACTAAACACTGGGGGGATCATTTTGTTCTGTGTTAGTTTTTATTAATTTTATGTGTTGTTCCAAATTGCCCAGATAGCATATGTTATTGGGAGGTATATAACAGTAGTAAATAAATAAATAAGCAAATGAGAGCATATAAAAGCCTCTTAGCATCTGTACCCCTGAAGAGAAGCATCTGACAGTTCATTAATCCTCACTGTTGGGCACTGGGATAGTGAGGAATATATGCTGTTGAAGATACAGGCTTTGTGAAATGTGCAGAAAATGCAAGCTAATTCTCATCAACAGTTGGTAACCAAACATTTTGGAGCAAAGCTTGAAAAGGACATTTTCCTTTATTTGAGGTAATGCCTTAATCAAAGCATTGGAATAGTTCAGCTAAACCCATTATTCTTGTAACTTGATAAGGCTGCATTTTCTATACAGTTCTTTGTGTTGCAGTAATGGCAGAGACATCCATCTTTGTCTCAAACGGGTGGCAACCACCTAATTTCATGTAGGTGGCAAGGTGGGAGGAAACAAGCCAAAAGTGAATGGCAGAAAAAGGGAGCGGGGAGAGGAGTGGCAGAAAGAAAAGTAGGGGGAAGGAGTGGAAGAGAGTGAACAGACTTGCCCACAGCTAGTATAGAACCCCCAATAGATCGTCCCTGAGAGAATATAGTCCTCAGCAGGATAAAAAAGTTGCCCTTCCCTGCTCTTTTTAAAAATATAGCCATGAATTTGCTGCAGCTGAACATTTCTGGGTCTGCTTCGGAAAACAGGTTAGCAAAACCTGCCATGTTTTTCGCTTGTTTATACTTCTAACTGAAAAGTATATTATTCTAAATGGATTTATATTCCTGTTGCAGTATAAATAGGGAAGAGATGATTAAGAGCGGGTCAGGATTGCCAGTTGTTATAACATTGGCTTGACCAGGATAAGGCTGGTGGATTGACTGAAACCCCCTCCTTGATTATTTGCAGATCCTGGAGAATTATTTTGTGTGGCCCCAGTCCCATTTTAGCAAAATGTGATTGGGGTGGGACAGGAGACTGTCTGTATTATGCTCTGTGTTCTTCTCTGAAGTTAGAGGCTTGTGGTGGACTTGGTGCCAATTTCCCAGCCTGCTGCAGGCAGCTGTGTTCTCTGACTTGTCTGCAAGAGCAATGATAAGGTATGAGAAAAACAAACAAGTTCAGTGTAAAAGGTATCATTCAAGGATGTCCAAGACTCTCAAGACTCTCAAGGCTGGCTCCTTGTCAATGTGGACTCCTTTACAAACTTGAGCTTGCTGCCACAAATTCAGGGAAAGCCCTTGGAGTGTGAATGTGGATGACTATATGTTATTTTTTTTGTCTCAGGCCTTCATTCTTTAGCTGTGGAAGGTGGGTACTTTGCATCCCAAGGCTTTAAAGGTAAAGGGACCGTTAGGTCCAGTCACGGACGACTCTGGGGTTGTGGCGCTCATCTCACTTTACTGGCCGAGGGAGCCAGCGTACAGCTTCCGGGTCATGTGGCCAGCATGACTAAGCCGCTTCTGGCGAACCAGAGCAATGCACAGAAATGCCGTTTACCTTCCTGCCAGAGCGGTACCTATTTATCTACTTGCACTTAACTAAAGGAAGTTAAGGGCAAATTCACTTTCCCCAGATATTTTAGTGCCTTCTGTGACTGAGGTGGAACTTTTCTTCAGGCAAAGTCAAGTGGGAAGAAGGTACTGTACTTGAATTTTTTGTAATTAAGCAAAAATTTCCTTTGGATATTTCAGACTTCTGAGATGATTTGTCTTCGTGGCCCAGTTGCTCCTGGGATAAGGTAACCTATGCAAATATAATACATATAGCAAATAAGAAATAAATATTTTTCTGCCTGTAATCTTATTGCCATGTTTGTCCCAGACAAGCAGGTAAAATAATAAGCAGGCAGACAGAATAGGAAAGGTAATAAACTTCTCGGATTTTTAGAGCAAATGGTAGGAATTCATTTATTCTGTATCTTTTATAGATAACATTGCTTCAGGGTTGCCATTTTCCTTGTGAGCATTTCCTCCCCAGACTTGATGCACTTTGATTTTGTGGGGTAATTTATCAGTTGATCACAGTGATTCTCATAGAAATATCCTCTAGCATTTAACTGGATGTTATGTTTCTGTTTTTCTTATCTTTTTACCATGCTTAAGAAAAGATCTCACTTTCTGACACCAAGAATAACAGAGACACCATCACTGTTTGGGAACCAGAAAATGCTTCTCACAAATCTATAAAACATAATTTTGTTGGAAGCACAAAATGGATGTCACATATCTACACTAGCAATCTAAAGTGAATAAGAAGACAATTTTCAGTGTGAATTGTTGTACTCTTTCAAGGATCATTTGGACAAGGTCTGTAGCTCAGTGGTAGAGAACGTGCATTGCATGCCAAAGGTCCCAGGTTCAATCCCTGACGTCACAAGATTGGGCTGGGAAAGAAATAGTCCTCTGAAGCTCTTGAGAGCTGCTACCAGCCAGTGTAGACAGTACTGACTTAGATGGACCAATGGTGTAAGTCAGCTTCCTGTGATGTATTTTAAGATTCAAAAAAGAAGGAATGTATTTTTCTTGTAAATCTTTCCTTAGCCAATTGGTTTCATGCAGTGTGAGGGTCTTCAAAGGAGATCAAGAGGATATGACATGATGAAACTAGGATTGAGGGACATATTGCCCGTCAATTTGTAGCATGGCCTGCTTTCTTGAACCACTTTGGCACCCTAGCATTGTAACTGCAAAGATTTGCAGAGTTGCAATGGTACACAGCTTGATGCCTTGTGTCTATTTTGCATACATCTTATGCAAAGACAATGGAGCAGTTGTGTGTGTTCTATGTCTATGTTACAAATCTGAAGAAGTGTGCAAGAAGTGTGTATCGAAGAAGTGTGCATGCACATGAAAGCTCATACCAGTAACAAACTTAGTTGGTCTCTAAGGTGTTACTGGAAGGATTTTTTTTATTATGTTACAAATGAATAGGGTGGCACAGCCCTATTCATTTGGGTATCTTCAAAAAAAGCACATTCAGAAATAGATATTTTGAGAAAAATGTGTTTAGAAATGCACATTGGAGGGAAATGGGTTTCAAGTAGAAATAGGTTTTAAATCTCTCCAAAAGATATTGGAGCACTCCAAGTCATTTGTCCATGTATGTGCACAGAAAATAGTAGATGTAACTGAAGGGCAACACATGGAGATTTTTATTGATTGTTAGAAACTGGCCAGGGCTAAGAAGGTGGCTCTGTTAGAATACTACAGGGCTGCATTGTCAGTTCAGAACCCAGTACTTTCCCCCTAGAATTCTCTTGACTGCAGATATCTATAGGTTGTTGTGCTGATGTGATTTTCAAATCTGGAGGTGGCAAGAGGAGGTCAGAGAGATGTCTCTTCCCTGTGTGCAAGATAAATTCATCCTGTTAGTATCAAAGATATATTTTTCCCCCTTAAACACAAAGAAGAAAAAAGATCCTGCCATGTTCCTTCTTTGAACTCTCAACGGATTAATAAAAACAATAGCAGGTGACTTCCAATCCATTTTGCCTAGCATAACTGCTAGCTAAAGTGTGGCACATGACTCACTCTTGTCAAATGGAGACACTGAGGAATTGGAAATGGGGAATGGGGAGGGAGGGAGAGCTGCATATGTCTGTTGGAATGTATTGGGTTGTTGTTGTTTTTATTCTGAAAAAGCTTAAAATGCAACTTGCTGTTAGCTTCATTTTGTAAAGCATACATTTTAACAACAACAGAATAAATTTAGAAAAGTGTTTGATGCATGTACACCGGTACCTCGGGTTACAAACACCTCAGGTTACAAACGCTTCAGGTTACAGACTCCACTAACCTGGAAGTAGTACCTCGGGTTAAGAACTTTGCCCCAGGATGGGAACAGAAATCGTGCACTGGCAGTGCAGCGGCAGTGGGAGGCCCCATTAGCTAAAGTGGTACCTCAGGTTAAGAACAGTTTCAGGTTAAAAACGGACCTCCGGAATGAATTAAGTTTGTAACCAGAGGTACCACTGTATTAGAAGTTTCAGAGGAATGCAACACACACACCAGTTTGAATTAGACACACATTTCTCACATAAAAATATATAAAAATTGTGATCACATTATAAAAATAATAATATATTGCTGGGGAAGTTATAGAGTAATCCAACTCAGTCTTCACAATCAGTAGGTTCTTATCCACTGCAGCCTTCATCATGCACTGATCTACATACATAAAACAAATTCACACACAGATGTCTTCCAATAAACACTGACAACTGGGAAACACTGGCCTGTGAGTGCTCCAATTAGAGAACAACCTTTACCAAAGGTGTCATGGGCTTTGAAGATGCTCAAGCTCAGGATGAAAGGGAGAAACGTGCTAAGAGGAAGGCATGCTTGGCAAATCCACACCATGATCAACTCCAGCCCAGAAACCTATGCCCCCACTATGGAAGGAGGAGTGGATCCAGAATTGGCCTCCACAGTCATTTACGGACTCACTGTTAAGACCGTATTCATGGAAGATAATCTTACTTGGCTACGAGTGATCAGCAAAGAAGAAGAAGAAGAGTAATCCAACAATTAGATTGGGCTTATTTTATTCATCAGAACTATCTTTATGCTAACTTTTCTTCTCCAGATACCAGAAACTCTGTTACATGGGTCCAGGGCACCAGCGCCAAAGTTTCATATCCAAGTAATTCAGTAATAAACACACATTTCATTTAGCAATATTCAAAGGCACCCCAGTGCCTTTCCAACTCAGTCTGAAAGGTCGATCCTGGCAAAATCCCACAAAGCTGGAGGTGTTGTATTGTTCTTCTAGATCATTACTTCTCAACCAGCCATTCCTTGTGGTGGTAGAGAAGGAGCTATGCTGGCCATAGCATGCAAAATCACCAGTTAGGGCAGTATTCAATGAAGTAATTGTGCTATCATAAGGATTACCCTCCAGCATAATAGGAATTCCCTCTCTCCTCTCCCTGACCACCCCCAAATCTGTTATTGTGGGATGAGGAAATCCCCAGAAAAGATATATGGGGTCCACAGGGAGAGAACATTGTGCAAGCATAAATCTGAGGGAACACTTGCCTTAATGCTACAACCCAAAATCACATATTTAGACATGCTTTGCAGCCTGAGATGCACATAAAAACAGCAATAAAAAGCACTTGGTATAAAATGCCACAAAATGGGATCTGAATTACTATAGTGCTGAAAGCAGCAACATGGTAGTTTGTCCATGTAGTATCAACACCATTGTGAGGTTCTAAACAGGCTTCTGTGAAGAAACAAATGCTCAGGGGCCCTTAAGAGTAAACTAACCCAAATAAAAAAGTACAAGATCATAAATAAAAAATTGGAAGGTAAGCGGAAGAAGGTCTGTTCTAATTTATTTACTTCTTTATGATAGAGAGGGAGCATCTGCATTCTATGGCTATTTTATTCCAGGTTAACCTATGGAACTGCCAAACAGTCAAGGAGCCATTTATTGCAGCCAAAATTGACATTTATGCCTAGTGGCTGTTGCTGTGTTTCCAATCTCCCTTAGAGCATCCTCTGAGCCAAGAAGCCAATGGAGATCAGGAAGCAGTCAAAAGTTGTAGGTCTCCTGTGGCCAATTTGCAGATTATTGCTTTGGGCTTTGAACATACTGGAGATGTCTTGACAGCAATATATATATATATATATATATATATATATATATATATATATTTATAGTTAATGTTTAAAATGGTTATTAATGTCTAAACACATATATACAGAATGAAGAGAATGAATTTATTGAGCACTGATGGTGTACTGCATGCTAGGAATGGTAGCTTGTGATATCTCTAAACAGGGAAATGAACAGCTTGAGCTAGCACTACCCACTCAGCTGTGTTTCTGTTTCGCTTTTTACATACAAATCAATATCAGCTCCCAAACACACAAGTGTTTCCCCCACTTTTGTGCTGGGACAATCCTTTTTAATTCTTTTTTTGGGTGGGGGGAATTAAATCACTCAAGTTACAGCAGGATCCCCCATGAAAAAGAAACATATTGGAAATTACACGATAACAACATTTTCACCAGTTTCTAAAGCAAATTGCACAAACATATCACAAACGTGCGAGGAAGATATCTTCCATTCTTGTTTTTATCTTGAATTCTCAATGAACATGTCTGCTTTTGTTTTTCCGTGTTTTTTTGTTTGTTTGCAAAGACTTTGTTCAGTGTTGGAAAGGAAATAAATGGGCTGGCATTGCCCACCAAGAGAACACTTTATATTGGGAAGGAAACCAAAACTAAACTCTAAAGCTAATTCAGAAAACCTTTCTTTGGGGTTTCCATGGAAGTAGAGGCAACCAAGTAAGACTCCTACACAAAGAAGCCTGAGGGTGAGGGGAGGCTTCAGGGAAGTTACAGATGATGAGAGTCTGTTGGTGCTTGTCCTCTCACAGGGCCTAATCTGTCAGGGAGCAGAACGCTTTGCACCTCAGAGTACATTGAACACCTCTCAGCTCTCCTTGACATGAATGAATTCCAATGGCCTTGCAGAACAGGGCCTGCAGTCACCTTCCTAACTGTCTCCTTCTGGCCAAATTGCTGATGGCATTAGTTGTGTCGTAACGAAATGCATACCAATGAAGCCTGGACAAAGAAGGCTGAGGAATGAACTTGCTGAAAAGAATCGTTGATTGGGCATCCCTTCTTAGGCAGTTTGTTCTGTTTCGATATCAGTTGCTGCTGGCGTTAATTTAATTTCTATCCTGCACTTCCAGAGGAACCTGGGGTGTCAGACACCAAAAGGGTAAAACAATATAAATAAAATTGTAATTTAAAATAAAACTAAGACATTTTAAAAATATTTTAGAACAGTTAGAAACATCTAAAAGCATTTTTGAAGTGCTAAAAACAAAAGCCACATACCCTCACAGCTAGTATTGCTAAGGTTGCCAGGAACAATGTATTTCAACCATCACATGCCTGGGTAAACAAGAATGTTTCTAAGTTCCTCCTGAAACTTGAAACTGAGGGAGACAGTGGGCAAATGGGGAACCATAGCTTAGAATGTTCTGTCACAAGTGAATGCCAGCCAGCTAGCACCCAGTGTCAGCAGCACCTACCAATCTCCCCTGCTGATCCTAGAGCCTGAATAGGTTGAAACTGGGGGAGACAGACTTTTAGATAGTTGGGTCCCAAGCCGTTTAGGGCTTTGTATGCTAGTATACCTTGAATTGGGCCTGGTAGCTCACAGAAATGAATCCTTGTCTTGCATCTTTGGGAAAGCTTGCATCGTTATGCAGGCCATACAGAAATGACACAACATTGCAGGAGAATGCAAGACTCGTTGACCCTTCAGGGCCCTTCCAAGTCTACAATTTGATGACACATTACAGCTGTGTATTGCAGTGCAGATATCAATCTCCAAATATATTCCACATTTAT